AAAAAAACAAATCCCTAGCTTTTAAGTCATCCTCCATCTCCGCTACACCTCCGGCGATTGAAAACTCAACACCATGGTTACTACCGTGGCTTTCATCGTCTAGCACCACCAGCCCCCCCCATCTCCCTCCATCTAGCCTCGGCTACCGGAGGTGTGCTCGCTTCCCCTCTCCCTTGGAGTCCTGATTTATTTCTTGATTCCCTCGGTTCCATCCCTGGTTGAGGCCTCGCATCTTCGTGATGTTTCCCCTCTTCCTACCCCGCCTCGCTTAGGTGTTGGCACGGTCGGCAACCCCCTTTTCCACCTTCAACAGACGGCCGGGACTACAGTTGCAGTAGGAGAGAACAGCTTACAGGCTACAGTCGATCTCTCCATTCTCTTGCCCCCGTAAGAGGCTGCCTAGTCGGACACGAACGCGGTTACCGATAGTTGTCATTCACGGAATTGGGTCTACCCCTCCTCTACTCTTTGGGGCCTTTTTGGCTAGCAGGTGGTGGGATCCCTTCCACTACAGTGACGCTATCTCTCCCAGAACAAGGGACTACATGAGAGACGCGGTAAAATACCTGCTTCACTTAGGGCTCCTCTCTACAGTTGGATCGGCTGGCACCATACTGCCACCTCCTCTCAAGCTGGCACCTTACTGCCACAATCGTTGGATGTCCCGGAGGACACATGGTCGCTGGCATGCCTGCCACACACCTCCTCTCCTCGCTTCTCAGTCGCCGCCTTCGGGGTGGTTTCCCTTATACCCTCTGCGCCTGGGGCTTCGGCTCCCTCCTCCTGGCCCTCGTCATATGGCCTAGGGGTTCCTATAATGGATTTGAGTTGCGGCCATTGGCCTCTAGTGGGTTCGGTTTGGGTTTCTGTCTTTAGGTGTTTCGTTCTTGGGGTTAGGCGTGTTCTTGGTTCACTGTCGGGTAGCTAGCTTTCTTTTGTTGCTTGGCGGTGGGGGTTATTGGTTCGTGGTCTACGGGAAGGATTTCGGGCGGGAGTAGTTTTTTCTACCCCAGAGGGTTTTTTTAGCTCTGTCGTTCGGCCTGGTCCGGGGGGGGGGCGGTTTTTTAGGCGTCATAGCTAGCGCTCCATATGCCGTTTTTGTCCCATAAACAAAATACAAAATGAGTCAAACGAAACAAATCCCTAGCTTTTAAGTCTCATCAGCGACCGGAGAAGAGATCTTATCAATATATTCGTTCTACTTTACTTCTATCTTTACGAGCCTTCTTGACTATCTCCAAGACAGAAGATTACAGGGCCTAGTATACACTCGCTTGACCTTTGAGTTACCTACCCCCTAACACTTTCAACAGCAAAAAGGGGAATTACAGGAAACCATTGAGGCTGTTGGACACTAAGTGATTTTTTATCCTGTATATCACTGCGAACTCAATTTTATTAAGTACTTTTAGGGTAGAGCCAAGCTCTATACCAGAGCACATTGTGAATATATATTTCCAGCCCTTGTTTGTATAGTTCCAGAGGCACTAGCACATGTTTCAGAGCAATTAATATTTAAATATTATTACTATGTCTTACATATGATAGAGGCTTATAAAAATTATATTGTTTATGGCTTTAAGGATTTTAAAAGACATGTATTTACAAGATACATCCTCACACAGACGGATTGCAGAATCTGCTCTTAATGTTACCTAGCCTCCATTTCTTTTTCAAAATGTTTAATCTACGATAGCTACTTTACTGTCTTCTAATATATTTCTTTTACATAAATAAATCAATTTAATAAAGATTGAGTTTAACTTATATTATGTACTCACTGACCATTGGTATAGCATGCATTTTTAACTGGTATTATTAATACATTGTTTGTTATTATCATGTGATACTTGGCATAATTTCAAGCATTACGGTAACCGTTACGCCCGAAACTGTCACACTTTTCGTTAGAAAGGCGGTCCCAGCTCTAGTCTTTCGGAACCATACTTACAGTATGTTTTTGTTATTAGTGATTTGGGCCTTATACTATGACAACAGTTTCCATGCAATAAATGGGTCCTGGCCTCGTACCTATCCCAATCTGAAGAATTTAACAAAATAAATTTTTTTACTTTTTTTAATATTTTTCTTTTGAAATCAATTCTCCGGTGATCTGTGACCCTACGGTCCTAAACAGAAAATATATAGAAAATTGATCAGTCTGTTTTTCCTCTGTCCCCCCTTCCATGTTCCTCTTCTCTTGTCTTGTAACTTTTGCTAACAGCAAAATATCGAGTGAGAGATTGTGAGTAAACAGCGGTAGGTTGACGGTGTTATTACTTATCTCTGCCATCAAATTTTCTTAGCATTTCCTCCTATATTTACCAGAGGCCCAGTGGGGACGCGATTTACCTGCCATTTTGGCTTTCCGCCCCTCTCTCTTCCCCCCACAGCTAGTCGCGGGCTTAAAACCTTGGAAAACGGTGTTATATTTGTCTAGTTCCCTACAGGCTATGATATAAGATCTTACAGCAGCTTTCCTGCAATTCCCGGTCATCCCCCAGTAGTGGCCCTAATTTAATTCAGAGAGCCATTTGGTACCCTCTCTGCCTCCTTTCACCTCTCGTCTCTCACCCCAGCACCACCACCACCCCCAACAAACCAGTCCCTTCATCCTTATCCACACCGACTTTACCACCACCACACCACCACAAACGCTTCCAGAATGCCCACTGATCTAGTTCCTAAACCAACCGCCTCCACTCGTGGAAAAGCCCTGGAAGCACTGAGTGAGCTTGTGGACCTCCTTTGCCCAAACCATCCCCACGAATTGTCGATTACAAACCCCATGCCCACTGAGTCTATTGAGGGATATAGCGTTATCGTCGAATGCTGCGAGGAGGACATTGTCTGGGCGGTGCAAATGTGGGAAAATTGTAGTTTCAGAAGAATCAGGCGCAGCATGAGGGTTACCGTGCGCAGCTGTTAGTTCGCATATATTCCATTCTATGACACAGCACAGTTACTAATTCTAGAGAATGGAATGAATATAGTTGGAACCGGGACGGCGCCTAAAACTTTCCTTCGCACTCTTAAAGTTTGGGAAGGGCTCGTGTGTGATGACATCGTTAAGCTTCACAGACTTGGACGTCTTGAAAGAGAATGGTGGAACTATCCGGTGATTCTAAGTGACGAACACAAGGATGCTATGTGCGTATATTAGTTTACTAATTTTTTCTATTTCTTTTTCCTTTTTTCCGTCTTCACCCTTCAACATAACTAATAGTGGACTCACTGAAAAAGTGATTACTACAATCAAGAACCCACCAACGATGATCCGGAAAACGAGATAAGAGCTATAGAGGCGGGATATCAGGGGCCTGGGGCGCACAATGTCGCCCGCTATCCTACCTCCCCTGAAGACTCTTCTGGGCTGTCCACTGCCCTGGATACGAGCAGCTTGGATGAGGACACCGAGGGTGAGGCCCTGAGCGAGGAGGGAACTGAGTACGGGGATTAGTATCCTATATCCTACACGCTGAGGAGGCTAGAGAGTTCACGCATGGAAGTTAGAATATTTCTGTTACCGCTGCCTTAACGTCTTACCAATAATGTAATCTTCCCACTCCTCAGACCAATCCCCCCGAGAGCTTCTGATGTGCAATTATCATTTTGTCGCCCCCCCCTTCGTATGAGTTCTCCGGAAAACATCTCCCAATCAAGTTCTAGTCAAAAGCCCTAAGATGCTCGGGTATGAGGATAATAATTCACTACATATCAATTGTCAGTCTGCAGAGTGTTATGGATTCTGGGAGGGCTTCGGTCGCTTTGTACAGTAGCACACATTCCTATGATTTCCTACCTGATACTTGTGCTGTCTATTTCCGGCAGTGGTCGAATCGGAATAGAGAAAATACTGCCTCTCCTGTCTCTATGATAAACTCACCTCGTGTGTTCTGAAGAGGGAGAGTGGTGGGTGCACTATGTGAGAGCCAAACGTGAATAGGCCCTTCATCATGACACCTGTTTGACACATGGAACTATTGTTGAGGCCGAGAGAACAAGAGGAGAGAAGCGGGAGGGGTAAAGAGAAAGACATGAAACAAAGAGAAGAAAAAGGAACAACGGGCTGCAAAATTTGAATGTATTAGAATTAACCAGAGTATTTTTCAGCACGAGTGAGTAGGACTGAGGCCAAAGCCTAAAACAGATCTACCATGACTCGGCTTGTATTATATAGTTAACCAACTCAAACAGCGGGTGGTTGGTAGATCAGGCTCATTCCCATTTACTCCATCTGGGTGTCACCTTCGATTGCTTGAGAGCGGAAAGGATTTTATCCCGGGGGGCTAGGATTTCTGGTAATAATTTGTCTATACTCTTAGTATTGGAAGAATTCGGTTGAAATTTTCTATTTGGTTCATAAATATATTCCTCACCAAAAATATTGTTTATTTGTTTACTTTGTTTATATTTCAGTATTACCTGTACACTGTTTACATTACTACAGCTATGAGATAGATTGTATATATTTCATTTATATTTCATAATAACAGGAGTTTTTCACATATAACTTTCTGTTTGGTGTTTAGGATTTCTCAATTATATTAATAGCCGGTTCCCCTCCTATTTCACTGTTACTCATAGTCAGTGGAAGCAAGTATGATGCAGAAGCAAGTATGATGCCCTATAAAAAAATAGGAGTTTTTATTTAAGCTTATTCAATTCTAATAGGTTTTCATTCTACCAGTTATTAACCATATATCTATATTTACATATAAGATATAAAGTGAATAATAAACCTACTATAGGTAGCTATTAAATTTGGGTATGTTAAAAAAAAAAATGGAACTTTTTATAGTGCATCACACTTGCTTCTGCGTCACACCTGCTTCTATGAACTATGAGTGATAGTAAAATAGAGGCGGAACCAGCTATTATATATATTGATGAACCTTCATTGGTCATTGATTTTCATAATTATTCACTAATGATTCTCTGATACCTCCTTTGAATTATGCATACTTTTTTTATATATATTTTTTTTAGAATTTCCTTAGTAGATTTTCAGAATTAAATAGGTTTCTACTTACTATTATAATCTAGTTATAGAACTCAGTAGTATATGCTTAGTACAAGGCTGTATACAAGGCTTTCATGCATAACTCACCCATGTAAGTCATAGCAGTTGGTTTTACATATAACTTACTTACAAGTTACAAGATTGTTTTATAATTTTAATTAGTTCTTTGTTAAGATAACTCACAATTGTAAATCATATAATATTTTAACTTTCATACATGACTCATATTATGAGTTATGGGTTTCATGCATATGATATGATTAGTACATATAACTTATCTTGTAAGTTTTGATTTATTACTAAATAGCATACATTGCACTAAGTCATACCTGACTTGCTTCAGACTTATAGGATTTTTAGACAATTCATATTTGTTATATTATTATTATAACTGATTGTTTATTTGATAATTCATAATTGTAAGTTACATGATATTATGACTTTTGTACATGACTTATACTTTTAAATTATGAATTTTATGCAGGTAATAGAGTTAGTGTACCTAACTTAGTATTTAAAGTTTAGTGGTTGCAAGGTAGTGTAACAGGAAGGGGTCTAAGGGTTCAGGTAAACTAAGGCATACCACTGCCAAAGGGGTGTTTGGGTATATGGGAGCTGGGTACAGGCATACAAACAAATATTGTTTGTATTAGGTAAGGATATTCAGGTGTTTGGGGATTCAGGGTCAGGGTTCAGAGGTTCAGGTCTTACATAATACAGAGAGAAAAAGAGAACTATATTTCCTAGGTACAGGTATCTGAATTTAATTAAATTTTTATTTATACTAGCTACTGCTATAACAGAGGCTCCTCCAGGTAGATGGTTTCTACGGATGCAGTCACACCAAACTTCGAATCTCTCAAACACAGCTCTTGCAAAGTGTAAAGAATAAAAGTAAATGGTAAAACTTAATATCATTAAGCTCTGGCTTATCTCAATTAAAGTCTCTCGAGAGGATGTTGATTGTGTTGGGGTAGGAGAGTTCTCATATAATCTTTAAGTACTACAGGCATATAAATAAAGATTATTTGAACTGGGCTAGGATATTCAGGTATTCAAGGGTTCAGAGTCAGGATTCAGGGGTTCAGATCTTGCATAACTGAGAGAGAAAGAGAAGTATATTTCCTAGGTACAGGTGTTCGAAGGTAAATACCAGATTATATAAAGAAAGTAAATTTATAAGGGACATACTCCATTATATCGCTAAAGGAAACCCCATAATCAGCAATCCTCTACTAGTCATGTGCAGCCATAATGAGTCCATCCTCTTCTATCAGTTTCCATCATACAAGCTTACCACTAATTCTATAAGAAAACTGATCCATCTGCCTCAAAGAAAACTCCTATATAGCAACCATGCTATCCCAATCCTGGTGGCCATGACAGGCAGGTTGTCCAGTCTGAGTAATTCATAGGAGTCAGCTGTTAGGGGGTAGGTAACTCTAAAGTCAAGCGAGTATACACTAGGCCCTGTAATCTTCTGTCTCGGAGATAGTCAAGAAGGCTCGTAAAGATAGAAGTAAAGTAAAACGAATATATTGATAAGATCTCTTCTCCGGTCGCTGATGATAGACTTAAAGCTAGGGATTTTTTTTTTTTTTTGTTTAACTCATATATTCTTTGTTAAGGTACAAGAACCTGCATGGAGTGCTAGCTATGGCAAAAACAAAACCTTAATATCAGAAACAACAAATGGTAATGAAATACCTCCCCGCCAAAAATCCCCGCCTGTGAGTAATACAACCCACTGCGCCTGCCAGGGCGACTAATCACAAAAGAAAAGACAAGTCTCCTTCCGCACGAAGGTAACATAAAGCAAGGAAAGTCAAGTAAAGTCAGGAAAGACATCAAAAAGAAATACCACTTCAATCTGAGACAAGGTTGGTGCCAGGCGACGTCCGACCCCCGCCCGTGGCAGGGGGGAAGTTGGTTCTGGTATCAGAGATGTATCGCGTCAGGCCCCATAGGAGGTCCTTATCGGCCCATAGAGGAGCCTCACCGCCCAAAGAATCAACTCCCGGGATATGGAGCAGTCTCGAGGCGGCCTTAGAGGGACAGGAGAGGATGGCATGTTGCATCGTCTCCGGCTCTAGGCCGCAGGCTGGGCAAGTAGTGGGTTTGTCTGGCTCGTTCCAGGGAGTATGGGCAGCTAGATAGCTCTTTCCAGCTCTCATCTGATGTATTCTTCCAGCCAGAAAGCGCTCCAGTCCCATAAAGGGGTGTGGGGCCTCCGGTGGAGGATAGGGATAGTATAGAGGAGGGGGGGCCTGCAGCGCCCAGTCCTGAGAGAGGAGAGATCGAGTTGTAGCTTTTAGGAGGGAGTACTTCTGAGACGAGGAGAGATTGTTGATCGCCCCAGGAACTAGGTGCCTGTTCAGGCCCGGGAGAGTCTCTTTGGCGGCGATTCGAGCGATGGAGTGAGCTATGCTATCAATAGGCAGGTGGAACCTTACGGCAGGAGAGGGCCTGGGGGCCTTCCAGAACAGGGGGTAAGCGTTCCCCTTCAGCCCGGTGGACAGGGCCCGGTTGGAGTCCGGGGCTCTTGCTGCCGAGGCAGAGGGAAAGGACAAGGGGAGCCTGGCCGCGGCCGGGTTAATTTCGGGCAGGGAGCAGGCCATCCTCAAGGCCGCCATTCGGCGTTTATGGGGAAGAAGGACTACCAGAGGGGGAATGCTAGCCTCACAGGGGAGGATTGAGGTAGGGGTAGAGTGGAAGCAGTTGGTCACCCACCGGAGGACCCGATTCCAGAAAACCTCCATCTTGTGGAGTGAAGAAGCGTTGGGTACCAGAAGATCGGCCCTGTAGGAGAGAATGGGGAGGATGAGCCCCACAGCTAGCCTCCGATTGAGATAGGGAGGCAAGCCTTTGCCGGGAGGAGAGAGTTGTCTTACGATAGCAAAAGCCCCCTGGGCGAGCGCCAAGCGTTTTGCGAAGTGAGGAGAGGTTTCCAGGCTAGGGGTAAACCAGTAGCCAAGCCAGCAAACTAGCCTGGCGGGGTGGAAGAGGGCACCATCGAGAGTGACTGGGGTGTAGCAACGAGCCCCATGGTCCCTTGAGGTCCTCCAGTGAGACAGTTCGGTCTTGGGCACAGAGAAGGACATGCCAATAGCCCCTGCCCTTCTCTTCAGTGCCAGAAAATAGTGCTGTAAGCGCTGCACATTGCGCCTGTAGGAGGGAGAGGCCACCGTGACAGTGAAATCATCGACATAAGAAAACATAATTCCCTTGGGAATACTCAAATGAAGAGGAGACACATAGATGACAAAAAGAAGAGGAGAAATAGGAGACCCTTGTGGTGCGCCCACCTGCACTGGAGAGAACACATTAGGAGATCCTTGAAAGAGAAGACAACAATGTCTATTAGAAAGGAAAGACTGAACCCAGGCGCAGATGTATGGAGGCACCCCTCTGGACTTCATGAAAGTAGTGAGTAGCGTTGAATTGATGTTGTCAAACCCCCCTTTGATGTCAAGGAAGAGTGACGAGGCTTTGAGCCCGGGCCACTGAAGGCACCGGATCTCGTGGGTGAGGGCGGCGTAGGCGTCATAGGTACTGAGTCCAGGGAGCGAGCCACACTGGTTTGGGTTGATTAGGCCGCGTGAGCGGGCAACTAGGGAAAGGCGAGAGGCAACAATCCTTTCTAGGATTTTTGAGACT